ACGGCCATGGCCAAGGCCAATGCCAGGGGCAGGGGCAAGGCGAAGCCGCCGAGTGACCCGATGGCGCCAGAGCCCAAGCTCGGCGGCCTCGAGGAGGCGCAGGCTGCATCGCTCGCGCGCGCGAAGTGCCCCCCGCGCAAGGGCGGCCCCAGAGGGTGCCGAGCCTGCGTGGGCGAGTGGTTTGAGCGCGTGCACACAAGGGGGCTTCTTGGCGAGAGCCGTCGAGGGCCTCGAGCTCTCAGGCAAACTCTGGAACGAACCCTCGCCGAACACCGAGAGCCATGAGAGCGAAGACGCATCGCCTTCATCATCGTCATAGTCATCGTCATCATCAGCATCATCATCACCATCTACAAAAACCCCATACATGTCCATTGAAATACAATGAAGGTCCTGAAGAATCCGGTGGGTTTCTGATGGATCTGATGAATTGCCTAAGGGATCCGACCGATGTCCTTGGGATTCCTATGTCTATCCTAAGGTGTCCCATGGATGTCTTTAGGACTCCTGTGGATTCCCTATGGAATCCGATGGGTTTCCATAGGCGTACAACCGAATCCCGCAGGATTCTTTCAAGTATCCTTCGGAATCGGTGGGGCTTTCCGTCGGATTCCGATTGGCATCCCAAAGAATCCAAGTGATTTCCCAAGGGGTCCTGTGGATTTCCGCCGGAATCATACGGATGTCCTAAGGAATCCGACGGTGTTCAATAGGATTCCAGCACCTGGGTTCTTTATGGGCTTTTATGGACGTTCGAAGGATATTGTAGTGGCCTTCGGCCAGTGCCGCCGATCCGGGTCGCTCGGGGTTATTCTCCAGACGCAGAAATTATGGGCGCACACTCAAACGCACACACACAGTCACACCACTTAACCTGCGCCGCAGACATGCGCACACAGCATCACCCACACACACATACTAGTTGGGAAACGCTCCTGTAGTACTAGTAGTAGTATTAGTAGTAGTAGTAGTAGTAGTAGTAGTAGCAGTAGTAGTAGTAGTAGTAGTAGTAGTAGTAGTGTAGTAGTAGTAGTAGTAGTGGTTGTGGTAGTAGTGGTAGTAGTAGTAGAGGCCTCGTTCCGCGGCTTCTCTCGACTTCCCGCGGTCTCTCTCAAGTTTCGAGCACGCGGTGAGTTTCACGATATATGTGTGTGTATGTACGCGTGCATGCATGTATGCATGCATTGATCATGTGTGCCTGTGTGTAGGTACGTATGTATGTATGTATGCTTGTGCGCGTATGTATGTATTTAGTTTGTATGTATGTTTGTATGTGTGTATGATAATATGTGTGTATGTGTGTGAATGTAAGTATGTATGTCTGGAAGATTGTTTTTCTATGTATGCAAATGTGTTTAAATGTAGGTATGTATGCATGTGTGTATGGATGTGCGTTTGAAGAGCGAGGATGTTTCAAAGAAGAGGCACTCGGTGACGCGATCGTTGAGGGATAGGAGTGAGGTCGCAGAGGAGGAGGAGGAGAATGAGGAAGAGGCGATAACTTGAAGGAAAACGATGAGACGGAGGACATCCTGCCGGTGGCGCCCTGGGCGGTGCCGCGGAAGAAACCGGGGGCCTGCCGGAGGCAGTCTGGAGGCCTCTGGGGAGCTGTTTTGGGGCCTCTTGGAACCTCTTTTGGGCCTCTTGTGGGCTTCTTGGGGCCCCTTGGGGGTCTCTTGGGGCCTCCTGGGGGCCTCTTGGGGCGGAAAGCTCGGTTCTTTCGGTTCGTGGTCCCCCTCTTGGGCCCCTCTTGGGGCTCTCTTGGGGCCTTCTTGGGCTGTCCAGAGGCCCTCTTGGGCCGTCTTGGGGCCCTCTTGGGCCGTCTTGGGGCTCTCTTGGGCCGTGTTGGAAGCATCGTGGGCCGTCTTGGGACGGACTTGGGGGCCTCTTGGGCCGTCTTCGAGCGTCGGACGCCCGAAAAGGCAAGAACGCTAAAAACCCTGAGAAAACCAATGAAAATCAACGATTCTGGCCTCTTGGGGCCCTCTTGGGAGGCCTCTTGGAAGCTTCTTGGGGCGTCTTGGAGACACCTTGGGCCGTCTGGAGGCCATCTCGGGCGTCTTGGAGCGATTTTTCGGCGACTCGGGGCCCTCTTGGAACCCCTTGGGGGTCTCTTGGGCCCCCCCCCTCCTCCAAAGCGCCGGAAAAAGCGGAGCATGGCGCCCCCCCCCCCCCTATCTTCCACTCCCCCGGAGCGGCCCCGGGGTTCGCCGGAAACTCGCACCCCCCCCCCCCCCCCCCACCCCCCCTTCCCCGGCAGAGCCACCCCGGCGACCCCCCCAGAGGCTGAAGCTCAGCCTCGAGGCTGTAGCTGAGACTCCTTGAAACTCACACGCCGGATCGGCGGATTTCTATAGTTCCATCGTAACCTGATGGATGTCCAAAGAAATCCCATGTATTTCCTACAGCATTCGATTATTTTCCTAAGGAATCCAATCTAATCCCTTCGGATTCCGACGGATTTCCAGGAATCATCCAGATTCCCATAGGATTCTCGTGGGTTTTCGAAGGAACTTAATGAATTGCTGAGAGAATTCCATGAATTCCCTTCATGGAGTTTAATTATATCTAAACGAATCCGATGGTTTTCCATAGGATTCATGTGGCTTTATTTCAAAATAGTATGGAAGGAGTCCTATGGATTTCGATTGGGTTCCATGGATTTCCTGAAGATCATGGCTGCCCGAAGGGAATCCTATCGATTTCGATCGGATTCTATTGGTTTCCGAAGGAATCCCATGGACATCTTGAGGAGTCCTATGGGTGCCCAGAAGATCCCCATGGAGTTCCGAAGAACCCCATGGATTTGTTTGAATTACTTGTATGAACATTCCAAATCATGCTGATCATTATCATCGTCATCATCTTCACCATTATGCTGATATCTCCAGCAAAACGGCTGTCATCCCGCTTGGACCCCGAATTTCATTAGCCCCAGAAAAAGGGGGTATTATCGGGAGCGCAAGGTAGAGGGTTAAGGAAGAGCAAGAAGAGGAGAAACAGCAGCAGCAGCAGCAGCAGCAGCAGCAGCAGCAGCAGGAACAGCAGCAAAACAAGCGGGCCGACGCGGCCCGCAGCCGCTACCTGGTGCCTCGGCTTCGCAGGGCGTCCAGCTATCGCGCAGGGCAGCTGCCGCGGCCAGCAGCGCCGCGGACCCCAGGACGGCCGGGGCGCGCCCCTCCTCCAGGCCCGCCGACGCGCCCTGCGACCCCTGGAAGCCGCCTTCTTCCGGCCACGCCGCCGCCTCAGCGGCCTTCGCGCCCTCGTCGCCGGCCAGCGGCTTGGCCGGCGGCTTGTCGCCGCAGCCCGCCGGCAATGGGCCCCACGGGGGCGCGGCGGCGTCGCCACCTCGCGGCTTGTCCCGCAGGCCGAGTCGGCGTCGTCCAAGTCGGGCCAGGCTCAGGCCGGCGAGCGCAGCCAGGAGGCGGGCTGGCCCCGCTGGGGCGCCGCGGGCGTTGGCGTCTGCTCCCGCTCTTGCATAGCGGGCCCGTCGCCGAACGCCTCGTACTCCAGCTCATCAGGGGAATCACCCCTACCGAGCTCCACCGTCGCCGGACCGCAGCCCGCGGTCCGCGGGCGGGCCAGCCTCGCGACGAGGCTGGGGGCCAGAGTTCGCCGGCCCCAGCGCAGGGCATCTGCCCCTCCAGGGCGAGAAGTTATCCCAGCGGGCCTGCCGGGGGGCCGCGCCGACCAGGCGAGCCTTGGGCACGCCCGGCGCGGCCAGCTCGGCAGCTGCGTCGCGGCCTGCGCTGCCGCTGGCGCCGCGGGATCGAGACGCGAGCCCGGCTGGGCCTCCCGTGTAGCGGCCTGTGGCCAGCGGCGCCACCGGCAGGGCTGGCCGGCCCCGTCGTCCCGTCGCGGGGCCGGTGGTACCGCCGCGGGCGCCGCGCGGTGGCGCGGGCTTCGCCGGCCCTGGCGTCGGCCTCCGTTGCTGCCGGCCGGCTCGCCGTCGGAGCAGCTGCGGCCTGCAGCTCCTGCTGCTGGCGCGCAAGCCGTGTCGTCTTCGTCGTCCGTGGCGTATAGCTGCTGCTCAACTCTTTCGCCGCCGGCTACTCTGGCGGTGCGCTCGCGGCTGGGTCGGCCGCGGGGGGCGCCCGCTTGCGGGGGCGTCCAGCGTTCGGCAGGCCAGGAGTGAGGCCGGCCAGCTTGCCCGCAGTCCGCGCGCGACAGCGGGGCCGCTCGCCGTGGCTCCATCGCGTCGAAGTGCACCTCTAGCTCTCTTCGTTCCCGTTCTCGTCCTCCTGCTTATGCCTGATCCCGCGTCCATCCTCTCCCCTCCCCCCTTCCTCTTAGCTTTCGTCCCTCCCTCCCTCCCTCCCTCCATCCTCCCGCTAC